AGAAAGAGTTTTACTTCCACTTATTTTCTCCCACCCAGGAAGACTGTAACCCTTTACATGATCAGCATGACCTTCAGAAGGGCCCCGCTCTGGGCAGAGCAAGAGAAATTCAGGCAATCGAAGCTATTAAATGAAGTGTGACACACTGACCACAGGAGCTCACAAGACAAGTTTGTAGGTGGAAACTGTGCCATGGACTGTAATAAGAGGATGAGTTTGCACTGGTGGCTACAGTAACACCCCAAACTTGATTTTTGAGCCCTAAGACACCTCTGTTTTCCTCTTACTGTAGTTAAAGCACAGGCTGCTTCACCTCTGCTGGGAGACACCTGCCTGTGGCATGCACCCAGACCTGCCACCCTGGTGCTCCTGTAATCCCAGCTCAGCCAGGCATTAGCACAAGGACAGCCAGGACAACAGAGGGCTGGACACCTCACACAGCCTGTGGGCACCATGGCTCCACAATAGCTCTGGCCAAGCCTGAGCGTCTCTGCTCCCGGGGATGTCACCATGCTGTGTCCCATGGCTCTCAGGTCCCTGCCCATCACCTGGCACACTGCCAGCCTGCACACACAGACCCTAAGCCCAGCAGCCCTTGGCACCACAGCTGGGGACACATGGCGACAGAGAGAGAACCTCTCTGTGAAGGCAGGCAGCAAGGTAGCTGCCTGCAGCATCAGCTCACCACCATGCTGTGCAGGTTGAGGACAGGGCCGAGGGATTTTGGCACTGAGAGATGGAACTGCAGGGACAGGGACTCACAACAGTCGTGCCATTCCATGAGGCAAGTAAAGAAGCTTTATTAGGATGAGGTGAACACAGAGTTAAAACCTGGCCTAGGGACTGAAACCAGCACAGACAGCAAGGGCCTGGGACCCACTGAAGCAGGGCTAAGCTCCCTAAGGAGCCTTTCTGTCTGCTGCTACGGGAGCTGCCTTCTTCATCCTGGCCTTCCCCTGCCCAGCTCCTGCAGTCACCCGGGGTTTCTTCACCTTATTTTGACCTCCCTGTGCCTTGGGGGCCTCCTGCTGTGCCCTCCTGGGCACCTTCCCCTTACTCTTTCCCCTGGGGGCCTTTGCCTCCGCCCCAGCACTAGAAGAGCTGTCGCTATCGCTCTCTCCTGCGTTCTCAGCAGCCCGAGCTGTGCTAGGTCCTGAGCGTCCTTTTTGGGGGGCCTGGCGGTGGCCAGCAGCCTTTGGGGGCCCTGAAGGCCCTGGGCCATGAGCCTGGGACCGGTCAGCAGTTTGGGGATGCTTTGCTCTATTGCTCCTGGGCTTCTCTGCTCCTCGTGGCTGGGCCTGGAGGGAAGAGAGGAGACCACCTCAGGGTGCTGCTATGCCACGAGCCACCCAACCCCGCTGCTGGCCCCGACTCACCTTCACGGGCTTCACCTTGGGCTGTTGCTTGGTGGCACCTGTGGAGGAAGGGCAGCAGATGAGTCCAGGTGAGGCCAGGCAGTGCCAGCTCGTTCACAGCACCCGCAGCCTTTACCTCGTGGTTGTGCTCCTGCCACGGCGGTCTGGGGGTCCTTGATGCTCCCTTTCTGTCCTGGCTTTGGGGCCTGGCCTCTGTCAGGATCTGCCTGGCCCAGCTGCTGCTTGTGCCCTGGTTTCTTGAGTGCTAGCTGGAGGTGAGAGAGGGGTGTCAACAGGGCCAGCCAGCACCTGTCCCCAGCCCTGTGGCTCCGGCAGCCCTTGCTCACCTTGAAGGTGCCAGTGGCCCCCACAGCAGAGGAGTTGTGGGGCCGCACCAGGTCCCCGCAGCTCAGCCCCTTGCTCAGCGCCTGCTTCAGCAGGTACTTGAGGCGGATGGGGTCCACAGTGGGGTACTTGGCCAGGATAAAACGCTTGATGGCGACGACAGAGGCACCCTTCTTCTCATCGTGGGCCCGCAGTGCCTCCTTGACCATCTGCAGGGTTGGAGGGTGCGAGGCCTGACAGCGCGGGGAGATGCCAGCAGTCTTGGCTGCTGGAAAGGGAACCATTTGGGACTGAAGTCCGGTCCTGAGACATTCACAGCCCCAACAGCCTCAAAGCCCCCAGAAGCCAAGGTGCCAGAGCCCTGCTCATCCCTGCAGCCCCTTAGGGAGCACAGCACCCTAGCCCAGAGCATAAGCCAAGCCCCAGCTCTGAGGGACCCCACAGCACTTGCCGACCCCTTACCCAGCTGAGGCTCCATGGCAATACACAAGCCCAGGCAGTCACAGGCACCTCTACCCACAGCAGCACAAACCATACTGCCATACCCAGCTCACCTCCATCCAATTTATCTGATGAACAGCCTGGCTGCAGGTGCTGGTTGGCAGCTGCTAATTGCTGTGGTCGAAGCCCTGGTGGAAGCCAGGGTCTGGAAGCTGATGGGCCTTTGCCAAAACTTTGGAGGGGCTGGAAGGAGAAGGATGAGAGATGGGGCTTTGCAGGGTGAGTGCCCTGAATGGGCAGACAAACGGTGTCTACCTGCTGCAAGGTGGGTGTTGGGGTGCTGGGATTGCAGCTTGTTGACAACACTTGCTGTGGGGTGCACAGGGAACCAGCCCGGAGCATGGGGCCCACACAGACCCGTTGCCAGTGTGGAGGTGGGATGTGCTGTCTCCTTTACCAAGTATGGCCTCACTAGGAACTGGGACTCTGAAAATGGTGGGGGAAGAATATTTCACAAGTGAGAGGAGGAAAATGAAGAGGTGCTTGGTTATCTAGCAGAGGCAGGAGGAGCAACTCTCACCCAGCATCCCCAGGTGTCACAAGCAGGACAACAATTTGCACCCACCCTCTGAATCCCATGTTCAGGGGAGAGCACTCCCAGCCCTGGACATGGCAGCCACGTCACTTCCATGACCCCTCCGTGCAGTGAGGAGAATCTGAGTAAAACACCAATGGCTCTTTGGTGTAGAAACAGTCCCCATTGTTTCCCCACCCAGTCTGGTGTAGAACAATCCCCACTGCAAATGTCCCCACGGCAGGGACTGCCCACTTCACACAGGAGTCACAGGGGGTTTGTGTGCATTGTCTGTTGGAAATGTGAGGAAGTTGTAAAGCAGGATTACATGATGGCAGGACTGGCTCATGGCCATCTCAGCAGATCACAGCAATGGACCTGAAAGGCACTGCAAAGGTCTGCAGCCACCTCATGAGCCCAAGGGCCAGATCCTGGCTGAGGTGCAGTAGGAGCCAGGTCTGGAGCAAGGAGCTGTGAGATAGACCCCTTGCCTGGAGCCCCACATGCCCTCCTCCTCCCCAGACCAGCACCAGCCTGTTTATCCTTTATTTCCAGTCCATTTCTGAATTCTCCAGGAAGGGGACAGTGAGCTGCAGGGGCTGGCACCACAGAAGGTTTGGCTGCACTTCCTCATCCTGGATCCATCCATCACCTCTCTGGTAGCTCTGTGATGCCTCTGGCCCCCGGGTGAACTGGCAGGAGGGTCCCAGATCCTTGTTGCCCCTAGCACCAGCAGCAGCAGCCAGGTGTCACAGTGCGGGGACAGCCTGCAGGCTTGGGGCCAGGCCTTGGGGCCAGCCTGGTTTGTGCCAGGGCTGGTCCTCCACGGGCAGGAGAACCACAGTGCCAGGCATCGCCACACCCCTGTGGAGCACAGCCTCACGGACAGCAAATAAACACTGAATCCTTCCTCCTCTTCCCTCCAAAACCACCTCCCAGATTTGAAGAGCATGAATCAGACATCAGCCTAAACACTGAATTATTCATAAAACTCTAATCTTTAGATTTCACTGAATATGCAGAAGTATCGATAAAAAAAATAATGAGAGAATTGTACTTGCAAATTGCTCTTTATTAAGGGTTTAACTCGCATGGGCTGTATACGTTCCCTATTAGTCCTTGCAAAGCTGCATAGGATTAGAAATCAGAGAGGATAATAATGTACAAAAATAGTTTCAAATGTTGATAACACTGAACAGTGAGAAAAACATCTTATTTGTATAACTGAACTAAAAATAAAAATGAAGAACACCGCTACAATTGCAATATGCCATCTTGTAGTGCTTGGAACATATGTCGGCATGGCTGAGCCGTATGCTGCTGGGTCCTGCCTGCTGCGGCGGGGAGGGAGATCAGCCCTGGCCCCGCAGGCCCAGCAGCACCAGAGCCACCCAGAACCTCCTGCTGGGCCGAGGCCAGACTGACCACAGCCAAAATGGGGAGGGCCATGGGCAGGCCTGTTGGGGACTTGGCCCGAGGGGTCCAAAGATGCCTAAGAAAGAGAGGTAGGACTGTGGGGAAGGGGTTCTGGGGGACATGGAGCAGAGCTGCTGCTGCTGAGGGTGCAAACACCATCCCTGTGCTGCTGCACCAGTGCTGGAGGACCGAGCACTGAGCTGTCCTGGAGAGCTGTGGCCACACACGGCTGTGCCATGCTGGCAGGGCCTGCTGTGCCACCTGCCTGCCAGGCGGCCCCTGGGCACCGCTAACTGCCCCATCCCCTGGAGGAATCACAGTGTCCCCCAGGACTTCTGGCAGGTGGGACAGGGCCAGAGCTGGGAGCATCTGGCAGAGCCAGGGCACTTTGCAGCAGCCAAACGTGCTCTGGGCAGACAGAGTGTGATGGGGCTGAGCGACTGGCAGCACTGGCTAGGATCCATCTCTGACAAAAGGACCAAAAGTGGCCGCAGCTCTGACCCTGGCAGCAGCAAATGCAGAACGTGCCCTGGCTGGGGTGTTAGGGTGGGTTGAGGGGGGCAAGGACAGCTCTGCCATGGCCCCCGGCATGAGCTCTCCGACCCAGCCTGCACTCAGAGAAGGGGCATGAGGTCTCAGCAAGTCAACAGAAATGCATGGATTTACGCCAGAAGAGCTAAGCCTTTGCATTTTAATTACAAAACATGTGTACACATTTTCAGCCTTGTTCCCAGGGTTCCTAGAGCCAGAGCGAGGAGCCCACCCCACAGGGCCTTGGCCATGGTGAAGCAGGGGCGGGTGGTGGCAGCGGTGGGGTTGAGTTTGTGCTGCCAGGGCAGCACCCCAGGGACTGGCTGCTCCCATGAGGCCTATGCAGGAGAGACCTGGCTGGTGGAGACGGAGGAGGTCTCTGTCTTGCCAGCAGATGTGTCCTCGTCACCCAGAGGGTTCTTGCCACAGCAGAGGGTTGTGATCATGCAGTTACGGAACTGGGAGAGAGAGAAGCCCAGGGTGAGCCAGCTGGACACCATGCAGCTCTAGCTGCAGAGCTGTCTTTGAGCCCAGCAGTGCTGTGGTGCACTATGCCTATATGGAGTCTCCTGCCCCACTGTCTGCTGCCCACCCCATCTACTGCCAGCCCTGCCTGCTCCCATCACGGCTCCTCCATCAACCCAGCACCTGCATCACTTCAGGTGGAATGGCCTTGCACTTGTGAGATTTATGCAGCACCAAGGATGAGCTGCACAGTCAGTTTCTCATGTGCCAGGACTAGATCTCCTGGAAACAATCCCTGCCCCAGACCACTGGCACCTTGAGATGCTGTAACTCTCTGCCTGCTGTTATAAAGAGAAACACAATAGAGGGGCACCCTGCCAGTTACCTGTTTGTTCATTACGATGTAGATCACAGGGTTGTAGATGGCCGAGCTCTTGGCAAAGAATGCCGGGATGGTCATGAAGATGGGCCCGAAGTCTGATCCCTGGTTGGTGAAGATGTAGAAGGCGACGCTGGCGTAGGGGACCCAGCAGATCAGGAAGGAGATGACCATGATGATGACCATGCGAGTCACTTCTTTCTCTGCCTTCTGGGTGGTGGCAGACTCCTGCTGCTGGGCAGCAGCCTGCGGGCAGAAGGGCACAGAAACATGTTGGAGCCTCTTGTTGCTATTTGCCTCTTCATGGATGGACAGGCTGGCCCCTGGAGGACCCTCCCTGGCACCATTCTTGAACCTGGTGTGGGTCCCTTCCCAGCACTGGGGACAGGGGTAGCCCAACTGGCCACTGCATCTGGCAGGTACCCACCTCCTTAACCGTGCAGACCAGGTTCCCATAGCAGAAGAAAATGATCGCCAGCGGGATCATGAAGTGAACCACAAACATGTAGATGACAAAAGATTCATTGTTGACCTCTGGCTTCAGAGTGTAATAGTCGATCCCGCACGAGCACTGCATGCCCTCGGGGATGTACCTGCAAGGCGAGCCCAGCAGGTCAGCGCCCAGCAGAGGACACTGCCTGGAAGCCACAGCTGAGCCACCAGCCAGGCTCCCACACCCCTGACATTGGGTCCAATGCCCTCCCTACCTGGACCAGCCGAAAAGTGGGGGAGCTGCACACGCCAAGGCCATGATCCAGGAGAAGGCAACACCCATGATGGCATGGTTCTCTCCAAAGCGGAAGTTGCTCATGGGCTTGCAGACCACTACGTATCTTTCGATAGCCAGGACCACCAGTGACCAGAGAGCAATTTCACCTGCACCGGGGAGAGGGACAGAAAGGACACAGGGACTTTGAGCAGGAAAAGAAACCACCCTGATGGCAACATGAGGTCTCCTCAGACTGATGTTCCTGAGGACAACCCCTGGCAGAAGCTTAATCTCTGACAAGGGTTTAGAAAGATAAATGAAGAATGGTCAAGGGCAGATGTGGTAGGACAGTGTGAGAAGACCCCTTCTCACTGTACTGCTGACCCACAGGAACCATTTTGCTGCAGTGTTTTGAGATTCATGGCTGATCCCACCATTCATCCCAGGCAGCATCTGCACCTGCCAGCCTGTGGTCACATTCTGATATGCAGCAAGTGCCTGTCATCCCAGGACTTCCCCTCACTGCCCACAGCTTCCCAGGAAACTTGTGCCACAAGGACCAAACCAGTAAAACAGTAGCTGTGGCTGAAGGCTGAGGCAAATGGAGGAGGACGTTTTTAGGCACACAATTTCTGTTTCACATCTGTTTGGTTCCATACCAGGCTGGCATGGGGAGGAGAGGCAGCTCTGCTTGCCTGTACCACCATGCACCACACCAGAGCCAATGGCAGATTCAGCCCTGCAAAACAGGAGGAACAAAATTGTCATCTCTTGAGTCAGAAAGTGAGCCAAGGAGATGCACAAATCCGACAGCTGCAAAATCTGGTATTGGCTGCTTTTCATTGCTGCGCTGTGGTACTCAGGATACTGAGCAGCTGGCTCCCAAAATAAAGTTTTTTTTGAAAAGTGTCACTTGTCACTTTCTTCAGCTCCTACCCAGAAACAGGGCAAATCGCCTCAGTCCACATCAGCAGCAGGTCAAGGACACCACAGGTACCATGTTTTGCCAAGATCATCTGTTTTCCCTCCCACTACTAAAATCCGGGGAAATTCCTGACAGAAGACATTTGAATATTTGGAAAACTTACCGCCCAGTGTGGCAAAGAAGCCTTCAATGTAGCACCCTGTTACTCCAAAGACAAAGTACCCGTTCATGGAGGTGTACATCGTGGTTGTGAAGCCCCCGAAGACCATGAAGAGGTCGGCGACGGCCAGGTTCAGAAGGATGTAGTTCAGAGGTGTGCGGAGCTTCTTGTGCTGGATGGTGACGTACAGCGTGAGGAAGTTGATGGGGAAGCCGAGCAGGATCAGCATGAACATGTAGGCAGCCAGCGCCGAGAACTTCCAAGGCTCAGCCAGGTAATACTGGGGGTACTCAAAGGGGCTCCGCACCACCCCGGTCTTGTTGGACATGGGCACGTAGAAGTCTTGGCCTTCTGTCCCGTTCATGGTTGCAGTTTGTGAGGCGCCCTTTGCTCTTACTCCAGGAGTTCTTTTGTGCAAGGGGAAATTTGCCTCTGAGATGGAACTCCTGCCTCCTCTCAGCCTTCACTGTCACCCCAAGGAGAACCAGTTACATTCTCCTCCACAGGGCACCTCTTATAAAGTGCCCCTGGGGTAAGCTCCAGGCACTGGTGTCAGCACGATTAGGGTTTAGAGAATTATTAATCATAATCATCCCAGGGTAATTGGCTTTCCTGGGAAGGTGTTAAGGTGACACTAGTTTCTGGCCAGTGCTGTCATTGTTGGAGACCATGGCTCATGGTCACATATATAAAGAGATAGTTCTGCACCACACCATTTATTTGGAGGGGCTCAAACCAGGCAGCAGCTCCCTTGCACAGCCTTGCTCTTCCTTTCTCTTCCCCACTAATAGGAGGGACATGTGTGGTTCAAACCCCAGGACTGTGGGTTTGGGGGCTGCCAATGGTGGCCTGGCTGGGTTCCTGAGTTCCACTTCCTCAGTGACAGAGGAGTGTCCCAGCCCCACTCTCACAAGGGGAATGTGGGTCTGTGAGACCAGCCAGTCCCCACTGGAGAGCCATCCCCACATACTGCCAGTCCCTGTGGGAGGCTGCAGAAGGCAGTGTGACCAAACCTTCTTCCACAAGCTCCAGCCACCTCTCTACTCAGGATCTGGCTGTGGACGTTTGACCACCACCATGAAACGCTTGGCCCACTTGCAGGTTACCAGTTGGGCCATGCCCTCTGTGCCTTTGTATCTGGTTTGGGTCATGCCAACTCCATTGGTAACAGCTAATGAACAACCTAGTCCATCTGTCCTGGACTGGAATCATTCTGCAATGGTGCTGAGAAGGCTGCTGGACCAGGGCACTGATGGGATGTTCAGAGCTGAAGCCAGCACTCAGCTTCATATACTGGTTGACAGACAACCTCACTCTCCTCAAACCTTGCATAATTATCAAACTCCACAGGGAAGGCTATTGTTGGAGCCTTCTGTGCCCTCTATGTCTCTCTGACTCACCACTGTGTGCACTCAGTTGTGCTTGAAACATTTCTTGTGCCAACCAGAAGTTGAGTTATCTTCCTAATTTTTCAGAGGCAGTGGGACAAAATGTACAGGCGGTGAGCACAAAGAGAGACTTTTCTCTGTCCCTTTGTAGGTGATGGAGGCTGGAAGGGAGCTGAGCACCCACCTCCCCTTGCTGTTTTGGCTGCACTGAGGGCTGAGCTGAGCATTCCTCACAGCCAGGAGCAGGTGAATGCGAGGGCCTTGTCCAGTACAGGAGGATGTACCAGAGCTGCTGGAGCTCATGGGTGTAAGGTGGGCAGAAGTTCATGTCCTCTTGGCCTTAAAAAACTTCCTCCAGCCTGGCCTAGTTTTCACCAATGTTCCTTGTAAGTTAGTTCAGAAATAAGTTTAATGGAAAAAAGCACAAAGCACTGTACTCTCCTTAAAGCAGAAACCAACCTGGGAACCTGCCCTCTAAGTGGGGAAGGTGGAAGGAGCTGAAGTGCTGGCACCACAGACTAGGGCAGACCTTGCTGGCAGCCCAATGCAGGCCACAGTCTCCAGACAGTCCCAAAGGTCTTCCTTCACCTTAACATGAAAACACCAGGTCCTCACACACACTCTGTTCACCCTAAGTCCCTCTCAATTAATTTCTCACACTTGTTTCCAAGGCCAAAGCAGTGCCATTTTCTAACTGCAAATGCAGCTCTTTACACTTGTACCTGAGCACACAGGGATTAAAGGTTTATTTCCTAAAACACTTTAAGCTGATGCAGTAAGCCACTGCTGAGGTAGCAGCTGCTATGCAGAGCTTAGGGCTGGCGTGCGTCACCACTGGATGCAGCAGTGGGACAGGCAGGCAGCCGAGAGATAAAGGAACAGGGCAAATTGCTCACAACTTCCAACCAAAGTGCTGTGCTGGGACCTCTTGTACCTCCAGGGACTCCTCAGCATGAAGCCAGCTGGTGGGCTCTGTGGCACAGGGCAGCCTGGACTAGAACCTTTCATCATGTATGTATGAGACATGCAGAGTGCTTCTGCCCAGAAAAGCCCAAAACACTTTTCAAAGCTAGGCTGTATTCACGGAGTTGTTTAAAAAAAACATTGGTCCATTTTGTCTTTGTGTCACGGCAAACCCTTTCTCTTCAGTTTTATAATTTTTCATTCCCACTGGCTCTGCACAGCCAGCTCTGTTCCAGAAGGAGCTGAATTCCACCCTGGCTCCCATCTCAAACAGCATTGTTTATCCATGTCAATAGCAGAGTCTTCACTGCAAACAGTGACAGCTGAGTCAGAAAGCAGACGAGCTGTAATTAGAACAGAATGTTTTTAAAGTGGTAAATCAAGCAGACTTGGTCAGGAACCACTGAGGGACTCGGAAACTCGGCAGTGTGATTGCAGGGTCTCCTTTTCCAGAGCAACTCGAGCAGACAGACATCCCATTTCACGCGCAAAGTGCTGCGCCCCCGGGAGCTGCCCTGCCAGCACCGACCACCTCAGCCAGTTGCTCGTGTCCTTTCCCACTCAGGGTAAAGGCAGGCTGGAATGCACAGGCTGCCATCACACAGAACTTGTGGCAACACGGGCACAGCCTATACTGGATTAAAGTCAAGAGGCACCACTTCCCAGCTCCAGCCAAGCTGGTGACCTATGTGAATCTTCCTGCTGCTGGGATGACCCTGTGTCCCTCCTCACGAGATTCCCTGCCCGGGGCTACACTGGTGTCATCGGCACGGAGCTCATTTCCCTCCCAGCAGCACAGTGGGGCGTGAGTGTTGGGGTGTAAAGCAGCACTTGGGAACACACCAGAGTGCAGCTGCATCCTGCCTGCCCTGTCCCCCTCAGCTACAGACCAGAGCAGGGCTGGCAACGGAGGGACAGACCTGGGACAGCTGGCCAAAGCAGTGTGCCACTCCAGATGATGTGCTCCAAAATAAAAGCTCAGGGAAAGGGGGAGGAAGGGAGGATGTTGTGTTTGTGGTGTTTGCCTTCCCAAGTGACAGTTACTCATGCTGAGCCCTGCTCTCCAGGAAGCAGGGAATAAATTCCTTCTTGCTTTGCTTTGCTTGCAGGCAGAGCTGTGCTGCGGCTATTAAACCATCTTTATCTCAACACAGGAGTTTCTTGGCCTCTGCTCTCCTATTTCCTGCCCAGTCCTGCAGGGACAGCAAGCCATTGTAGGGGCTCAGGCGCTGGCTGGGTCTGATGCCCCCCGTGTCTCATGCCTCCACAAGAGGCTGCAGCAGAGAGCAGTGTGTCTGCCTCCTGCCACACGCCCACAGAGCTCCTGCTTGGCTCAGGACTGACACGATGCTGGGGACACCCTGCTCAGCAGCTCTCCCATACACAGCCCTCCATGGCAGCAGCACGGAGCTCAGGTGTGCACAGCCTCACATGCTGCACTTTAACCAGGTGAATTCCACACAGATTCAGCCACCACCTGCCCCAGGGTGGCTGTGAGATGCCCCCAGTCTCAAGAGTAGTGGAACTCTTCAGATTATATTTGAAGGGCTCTAAATGCTGTTCTTGCCAAAATGGAATAGAAAGGAAAAAGAAATTTCTGATCAGAAGCATGAGTATTATAGCAAATTCTGAGACAATAAATAGTGAAAAATAGTCCCATTTATTTGAAGATCTGTCAATAACTGGTGTGTGTTAAGGAGCACAATCTGGAGTAAAACCAATTACTTGAAGGCTGAACTTGATTCTAGAAATATTCCTGTAAAATTCTGTGGCACTTCAGCTGCTTGCCTGGAAAATGCAGAGCACATTCACAAAAAACAGACGTTTTAATTTAAAAAAATAGTTTAAATTCTTCAACTTGGTTCCACTCTTACATACAAAATGAGACAAGATGACATAACTAAGTTATTAGGAAAGCTCTACAGATCTAAGAAGGGTTTTGCTGAGCCAACAGGGGAGTCTGTTGTTGAGGTAAAAGACTGGTTTTCTTCATTGGTTTGACTCATCTATTCTCCGCCGACAGAAGGGACAACAATTATGCTGGAGTATGAGGAGCTCGTAGTCTTCTGTGTGAAACATCTGTTAATTAGGAACACATTTAAAACAAGTTAGCCTGTACCCTGCTCAAAGAAAATGCAAACTGAGTTCAATGGCTACTCAATAGCACAGAAACTCTGGAACTACCACCACAGAGAATTGGGCCTCTTGGTTTCAGTCACCTGAGATGCTACAGCCTGGAACACAGCAGCGAGCATGTCACAGACCTCTGCCAGAGCTGCTAACTACTTTTGCAAAAGGATTGACAATTAGGCAGTTGAGTAAGCAAATATGACTGAATTCCAGCATTTCAAAAAGTTATTTCTGAGCAAGGGTTTGGACCCTTTTGGATGCTTTAGGAGCAGGTCTGAACCACAAGGCAACAGTCACTGACTGGTCTCCTTGCTAGACCAGGCTGCAAGTCAGAGCAACAGAACAAAAGGAAATAAATACAAATACAGCTTCTGTTGGTCAGCCAAGGTTTGCTCAAGAGGCTCTGACTTGCTGTCAGGGCAACTTCTCAAATTCAGCTCTGGCCAAGTCTTCCAAGGCAGCTGTTCCCCTGTCTATCACACAGCTCAGAGCTGGGGTGGCACTGCTCCCCTCTACCTCCTTCAGGAATTTGCCGAGTACATTTCAGAGCGCGAGGTTTCAAAGGCTGGCGCTGTGTCTGTTTGTCTGCACAGCCCGGCGCAGCAGTACCTGGAAGCAGGAGGGGCACATGGTGATGGAGGCGTCGGGCAGCAGCGAGCGGTAGTACTGCCAGCGCAGCGGGCGCGGCCAGCGCTTGACCAGCACGTCGCGGCGGCTCATGGCGCGCAGCACGGCGCGGCTCACCACCACCGGCGCGAACTCGGAGCCTCCCTGCTGCAGGAGCAAAGAGCGCTGTCACCGCCTGCCCGCCGCCGCCCCTGAGGCTTTCTGCTTGTTTTAAGAAGCTAAGTAAAATCCAGTAGAAGCTAATGCAGGCCTGGCC